AGGGTGCAGTGTTTGCAGGCTTCTCAGGAGGCATTTGGAAAATTCCCCGAGCTAACTGTAGTGTCTACGAGAGCTGTGTGGACTGTATCCTTGCCCGGGACCCCCACTGTGCCTGGGACCCTAAGTCCAGCACCTGCCGCCTCCTGCCTACCCAGATCCTGTGAGTGTGGCTCCTGGATGATGGCTGAAGTTAACCCAGCTCATGCTCCTGTTTGTCCTCTGTCAAGGCTCATTGTCCCCAAGATTCCCTCTTCCTTTGGTGGGGGCCTCCAGGATGGAGTTTACCAGGCAGCTTTGAAGCAGCTCCAGCCACTTGGTTTCTGTCTTCTCCACTCTGTTCTGCCTTGCCCTCTTTCTTCCTCAGCACACTTCCCTCTCTTCCTCCCTCCTCTGACTTTTTTTTTTGTCTGTTTCAAGGGGTGATTTTTCTTTTCTGACCTTCTCAGGGAGCCCTGGAAGCAGGACATGAAGCGTGGAAACCCAGACTGGGCATGTGCCATTGGCCCCATGGCCAGGAGCCATCCACCTCCGAGACGCCCCCAAATCAGTGAGTGAGAGACTAGGGAAGAGATGTCCAGAAGAATTCTGCCCAGGCGTGGGCATTTCTGCCTCAGTTTATCCCCTCAACAACTGTCTCCCTTGAGAGCTGAACATACTGAGTTAGGGTGGATTAGGATACTGGCAATATGGGGAAGTGAGAGGAATTCTAAGCTGAAATTAGATAATTAGGGGTAAAATTGCTTTTGGTGTTTGAACCAGATGGGCTGGAGGTTAGTCAGGGGTCCAGACCTGAGATAAGGAAGTGGTCAGAGTTGTGTTTGGGAGTTGAAAATTGAGTCCACACGTAGGGTAGACTCTTCTGCCCTCCCTCTGTACCCGCCTCATGTCCTTAACTTGTTTTGTCTTTTCCCTTCACCTACAGTAAAAGAAGTCCTGGCTGTGCCCAACTCCATCCTGGAGCTCCCCTGCCCACACCCCTCAGCTCTGGCCTCTTACCACTGGAGTTACGACACAGCCAAGGTCCCTGGAGCCTCGTCCACCGTCTACAACGGCTCCCTCTTGCTCCTCCTCCATGATGGGGTGGGGGGCCTCTACCAGTGCTGGGCCACAGAGAATGGCTTCTCATACCCAGTGGTCTCCTACTGGGTGGACAGCGAGGACCAGCCCCTTGCCCTAGATCCTGAGCTGGCGGGCATTCCACGGGAGCGTGTGAAGACTCCTCTGACCAGAGTGGGCAGTGGGGCTGCCCTGGCTGCCCAGCGGTCCTACTGGCCCCACTTCCTCACCGTTACTGTGCTCCTCGCCGTAGTGCTTTCGGGGGCTCTCATTCTCCTGCTCACCTCCCCATTGGGGGCTCTTCGAGCCCGGGGCAAGGTCCAGGGCTGTGACACACTGGCCCCTGGGGAGAAGGCCCCCCTGAGCAGGGAGAAGCACCCCCAACCTCTTAAGGAGCACAGGACCTCTGCCGGCGATGTGGATGCTGACAACAACCGCCTGGGCAGCGAGGTGGCTTAAACTCTGGACAGAGGCTGGGGCTGTGAGGTAGCACAGGTGGGAGCAGCACAAAAAAACACCTTCCCACAAGAAGAGCCCTCCTGCCTCTCTGCCACCAAGACTCCCCTCCATGGGCAGAGCAACCTGACTCTCCTACCGGACTCCCTTCTACCAAGCACACGGACTCTAACAGGGTTTCCCGGCCCTATGTGTGGGCCATGGCAGAGGACCTAGAGAGGACCTTTGGTTCTGGTCATTCCGAGACCCTCCAGAAACATGTGCTCCAGGACACCCAACTGTTCAGAACCCTGTGGTAAGAAACACCAGACATCTAAGCAACCACATGCCTGCCGCTCCTGGAGACTCCACCCCGAAAGCAGCTGCCACCTTGGAGACCAACATTCCCCTCTCCCAGGGATCTCAAGGGCTCTTCAGGGAGCTGCCCCTCCTGCTCTGGGTATCAGCAGTGCCCCTGACTCCAGGGCAGGTTCCCTGACTTTCCTTGTCTCATTTGGGGCACATGGGCTCCCTCTGGCCTGGCTGCATGCAGGGTGGTCTGAGCCTTGTTCACTTCTTTACCTTGGCTGATGTTAGGCCCTCTCTCCTCTCTTTTCCTTTGTTTGGGATTCACACAGTTGTTTGCTTGTCACACAGTTTTATTTTTTATTAAAAAGACAAAGTTGATGACTGGTTGCTGTTTGGGGGGTGCAGAGGGCTGACGGGTGTGAGGGGAGCAGGCATTCTGAGGATATCCGTTTGGGGAATGGCTAGATTGAGAGAATTCTCTGGCTCCCAGCCACCTCCCCTGCTCTGTGGTCGCACCCTGGGCCCCAGTCCCACAGTCCTTTCTTCCAGTCCCAGCGCTGCTAGGAGTTGTTGGCCCACACAGCTTTCTTGACCAACCTCAGCCTCTGTCTGCTGGCCGTGCACTCTACCCACCACAGGTGTGCTGGGTGTTCTCCCTACTAAAAAAACAAAAAAACAAAAAAAAAAGACAGGCTCTCCCTGGTGGCGCAGCAGGTTAAAGCACAGCACTGAGAAGCTTAAACCACTTCCGCATGAGTTCCATCCCCACCTGCCCCGGAGGTGACCACATGGTGCGGCAGACCTCTCCTGACCTGCCTGCTGCTCCCCTCAGCAATGTACTTTGTTGATCTGCCTGTTCTGCTCCCCTCTGTCTCTGGTGAAGTCTTTCGCCACCCCTGAGTCTCTGGCCTGTACCCTAGTTCTGTATGCGCAAATAAATAAATCTTAAAAAAAAAAAAAAAGACAACAGCAGCCCTTTCAGCCTGCCCCATCAAACCCCACTGACTTCTGTTATCATCAAATGTCTCCCCAATCCATGTTGTCCTTGTGCTCTTTAATCCCGGCCTCTGACTTCTCCATCTCTGCTAAATGACTTTCTGAGGTTACCATAAACATCTAACTACTAAACTAAACCCTGACCTCTGTGCAACCTTCACACACGAGCCATCCTATTCTGACAACACTTTTGCTATGACTTTTTCTTAAATTAAAAAAAAAAAAAAGAGCCCTTCCTGGTGGTGCAGCTGGTTAAAGCACAGCACTGTGAAACTGTCTGTAGCTGCTGCAGCACAAGTTCAATCCCCAGCCAGGGGCATGACCCATATGGCGTGGCAGACCTCCCCGACCTGCCTGCTGCTCCCCTCAGCACAATATTTCAGTACATCTGCTTGTTCTGCTCCCTATTCAAGTGAATTGTCTCACCCCCTGCACCTCTGGCCTGTACCCCAGTTCTTGTGTGCATAAAGATATTAGTCTTTAAAAATAAATTAATTTTAAAAAACTTTTATGGCTTCTCTGGTGGTGCAAGGGATTAAGATGCAGCACTGTGAGGCTATCTGCAATCACTGCAGTGTAAATTCCATCCCTGGCCAAGGAGATGACCCACATAGCACAGCAGACCTTTCCTGTCTCACCCACTCAGCAGTGTATTTTGGTAGATCCACATGTTCTGTTCCCCACTCTTGTTTCTGGTGAATCCTCTCATTTGTGGCCTGTACTCCAGTTCTTGTATGCATAAATCTTTGTTAAAAAACTTAACTTGGTAAAAGTCACATAATATAAAATTTCCTTTTTGAGTATTCAATCTAGTGGTATTAACTAGATTCATGCTGTGTAACAAATACTACAACATTTTCATCTTGCAAAACTCCCCTATACCCACTGAACAAATGCCCAGCCCCTGACAACCACCATTCTAGTTTCTATCTGTGGATTTGGCCACCCTAGGAATTTCTTGTAAGTGGAATTTTACATTATTTAGTCTTGTGTGACTCGTTTATTTCCTCAGCATAATGTCTTTTTTGAAGCAGATTTATATTCCCTTATGTGTATATACACAAGTTCTTAACCGTTCATCTGCCGATGGACATGTGCATTGTCCTCACCTCCTGGCTGGTGTGAATAACACTGGCTGGAATGAACATGGCTGTGCAAATATCTCTTCCTGGTCCTGTCTGTTACAGCTTTTTTATTGGAGTTACTGGCATCTCTGGTGAGTCTTTCTCCCCTGTAGACTCCTTTTCTTCCAGTGTACTTTTTTCCTCCAAGACCTGGCTTTCACTGTTAAGAGCACCCCTCCAGATTTCCTCTCTGATTCCCTGAAAACCCAACCCCCTCTACAGGCATCATCTGTCCGTGGAAAGGGCACTGAATCAGAAGTGCGCTCCAGGGATACATCCAGACAAGCCTTTCCTGTTTGCGCCTCCGTGTGTCTATCCCTGGCACAAGGAATGCACAGCAAGCTCTCCCTGCTTTAATAAGCATTATAGATCCGTCGTGGTCAGCTGTACAACTCCACAGCTGAACTTTCTCCTCTGCTCCGGTCAGTACAAGGACAAGCTGTGGACACATTCAGGTGACCTGTTTGTCTTTCTGTGTTGGATTGTGAAATACTATTTTGAAATGAACTGACTCACCACCTCAGGCCTCGCAGGCCTTCATTTAAAGCTCTCCTCCTTTCTTTTACATTTATGTACAGGCAAATAGTATCAGAGCTGGACGAGGCCCTACATGTCATTTGGCCCACCTCCACTGATGTCCCCTATTCCTGCAGACTTTTGGGTTCCTAAACCTCAAAACTGATAGTCTAAACTTTATCTTTCCTGCTGCATTTTGGCCTACTGTTTTAGTTTTCTCATAAAGAAATGAGAAAAGTTACCCCAAAACCACAAATTAGATTTGACCTGAAGGTTTCCAGAAGACCCAAAAGACAAGGTGACCCACTTGGGAGAGAAGGCTCAAGAGCGCGGGGTCACAGCCAGCCCAGCCGAGACCGGACACGCACGCGCAGTAGAGCCGACGCGCGGCCGCGCCTGGGCAGGCGTGGCTTCTGCCCGGACTCAAGATGTCCGCCGGGCCGCCGAGCGTGCCCGCGGGCGGGGCTGGGGAGACTCCCAACGCCATTGGTGAAATTGCCCGCGCTCCTCCCCGACCCCCGCAGAGGCAGGAATGACAGCGTCTCTTTCCGGTTCCGGCTGTGCCCGGAGCCGGGTCGAGATGGAGGAAGATGCGACCCGAGGCCCAGAGTCGCCGGGAACAGAGGATAGACTCGGGGCGGCGGCCTAGAGATCCGAACTTGGAGCCCTCCGCACACGCGGCGGAACCTCCCTGATTCGAGAAGGTGAGAAAACACCGCCTTGCGCTCCATGAGGACTCTGGTCTCTGAGGACCTGGACCTGTCAAAGAGGCAGCAGTGTCTGCAACCAGGCTGCAGTGCTGGGGGAGCTGCCACGCAGTTTTGGAGATAAAGGATGACTCCTGCGAGGCATCTCCTATGAGGGGAGCATGAGGTTGGCTGACAATGAAAGAAGCATGGCAAGTGGCAGGGTCGAGGACCCAGACTGGTTGTGCCAGGGGGCCGGACTGAAGCTACAAAAAAGGGGGTGTCACGTGGAGTAGGTGGAGCGGGTTGTCATGTGGTTTCTGTGGTACGGGATCACGTGGGTACCCGTAGAAGACCAAAGGAAAGATGAATGAAAAATCTCACCGTACTGGAGGGAAGAGATTATTTCCAGGTTGGAGCTGGGGGGCTGGGGGAGGAGGGCATCACCAGGGATCTTGCCTAAGGAAGGGCATATGTCATTTCATGGGTGCACATGTAAGTATATTTACTGGTCTTATGGTAGGTAGCTCCTTGCAGATACATAGTAGATGCAGTAAAAGGAACAGAGGGTAAAAACAGTTTCTTGTTTCTAGCTGAAAAGTGGGGACCAGACCCTAATCTTGTCAGAAGCTGTAGGGAGTGATCTGCTTGATTATGGTTGACTTGAGAAGACCTGAGTAAGTCTAGTGATTATCATTGGGCTAGGTTCAGTTCAATCATTGGGCTAGGTGACAAGTCCAGATCATCGCAGCGCCCATAACCTAGGCATAATGGTCCCAGTGTAGCTGTTATTGTAATTCTCAGAGTCTTTAATGTGCTTTCCAAACCCTGGTACATAGGCAGTCATCTAGAGAGCTTGTGAAAATGTTGGCTGTGATTCAGCAGGTCTGGGGTGCATCCTGCAGTTCTGTATTTCTCTAAGCCCCCCCAGGGAGGCCCGTGCTGCTGCCTCTGCACCACTCTGAACAGCAAAGATTTCGATTGGCATTGTCCACTGAGCTCTCTACGGTAATAGAAATATTTTTCTGTTAACAAAATGCTGGTTCACATAGTAGCTCGTGCGATGTACACCTACCTCACTGTTAAATAGCTGTGGCAGCCTTTATTAGCCCTGTTTCATCCATGAGGAAACTGAATTTCACTTAAATGACTTGGACCGAATCCTACCAGTAAGTGAAGGAAGTAGATCTCAAGCTTGAACCTCCTGACTAGTAGTGTTCTTTCCATTGCATGATCTTGCCTTCCTAAAGTCATTGCCTTCTCCTGAAGCTTAATCTTACTTCAGAACTGAAGAGTCTGATGTGATTTTTCTGGAACAGGGGGAGTGGGAGTTGGACAGGAGGTGTATCTGCCTGGGCCAGTTTGTTCCCTTTCCACTGGTGGGGTGTGTAGTGGGAGCGCCACGTGGATGTCTCACTTGATGACTTTGGGACATCCTGCATCATCTGGCGCATCTCCATGGGAAGCTCTTTAACCTTTGTGCCTGAGAGTGTTCAAAAATGGGAGAAAATGTAGAATTGGAGCCATACCCAAAAATAAGTTTAGACAAGAACCATAAAATAGTTGGGCTGATTAAGTTGAGAAAAGGTAAGGCTGAAGCAACTTTGCATGATGGTATGCAAGGAGAATTTGTCCGAGATGACAGCTTGTCCGTCCAGGCACTAAGGTTGATCACGCCACAGCACACTGGGAAAGCAGAGGCAGCTTTTGGTTTCTCTGGAACAAAGCTGAGCGAAACCCCTGGCGTCTGCACAGACAGGAGCTTATGGTTAACCTTTGGGTGACTGGCAATCATGAGGGCATTAATTCTGCCACTCACAGGTGAGAATGACCTGGCTTTAGGTGGAACATGGAGTAGACAACACGGCAGAGTATAGCAGATAATTTGTCTCTGCCACTGGCCAACTGCATGACCGTGGGTCTTCCCCCTTAACTCTCCATTTACGCATTTAGCAGAAGTGGAATAGTACACAGGTTAAGTATAGGGATTACATGGGTCACAGGTAATAGGTATTCAATAAATCATTATGTCTCTCTCAGTAGTATTATTGACTTGACCTTGGGAGCCTGGGTGACAAATACTGCTGGGCAGGGAAGGCAGTGAAGCCTTCCCTTGAAGGTCTCCAGGTTGAGACTGGGGAGGAAAGATGACTTGTGCCCATAGCAGGTGGCACTTCATTGTTCTTAGAACACTGGTACCTGGAATCTCATTCCATTTTGGCCAACACAGTTGACTTCTCTCTTGTCACCTCCAAGCCATTGTTGTCTCCCTTCCACTGGCTACCTATATTCCTCCTTCATTCAGACTGTTTTGTCTTCCAGGAAGCCTTGATGATATGCTGTCCTCTGAGTTTCCCTCTGCCTGCATGCACTCAGTTTGCACTGCAGGTAGCTCATACTTTGAAGAGAGTGACACAGTCCAGCTGGAGGAATTTGGAAAAGCTATCCTTGCATCCCCACTGACTAATGTGATAGACCAGAAACTACTTAGGCTACTTGGGACCTTTGTTTGGGGAAGGCGGTAGATTACATGCTTGATAGGAGATGTGCAAAGGCACTGGCATGGGGACTCCTTGTGTAGAGGTCAGCCCTCTGGCATTGTCTCTGGACATGGCTGCCTCCTTTGCCAACCCGTAGGGAGTTCTCTCAGCTCCTGATTGGGAGTTCTTCCTAGAAATTAACTTCCCACCTTCCCTTCTGACAGAAAATGTCTGTTTCTTACACAGGACACATTGCATTTTTGCTAAGTATATATAATAGTTTCTTGACAGTTCTTCAGTTGGAAGCTCCTGATTTTACAGGTATCACATTAGTAAGCTTATTAGTGTTATTGAAATTTTAGGCAGTGGATACACTGAGCATTAGGATAACATACATGTTAATTTGGGCCTTCCTGGCGGCCTAGAAGTTAATTAAGTCTCAGCGTTATCACCTCTACAGCTTGAGTTCAATCCCAGCTTAAGTGCTGACCCACATATGAACCAGCAGACTCTCCTGTACCTGCCCACTGCTCTCCTCAGCAGTGTATTTTAGTAGATCCACCTGTTCTGCTCCCCACCCTATCGCTAATGAATCTTCGTACCCCTTGCACCTCTGGCCTAGAACCCAGTTCTTGTATGCAAAAATAAATAAAATATTTGAAAACAAACAAACAAACATTTACATTAATTTGCCCTGGTTTCTTTGTCTTTGTATTTTATACCCATTCCCCAGAGGGCTGCCATATCTCTGTGAGTTTCTTAAAGGCAGTCTTGTCTTCCCTATCACTTGAATCTCCCTTCATTATCTAGACCTGTGATTATGATTTATATTTTGGGGATTGAAAGGGACTAAGTAAGTTCTCTCTCTGATAGGCTAAGTAAGTTCTCTCTCTGATGATTCTCAAGACTCTTGAGGGGAACTACTCAGCTCCCGCCCAGGGGTTCTTTGCTTTGGAGTGAGTTATCTAATAACCAAAGAGGACTCTGACCTTTGACTTATTCTTAACTTTCTCTTTTCATTGGAGGAAGAGGAGGTGGTGGTGGGAGGTGCCCTGTGGTGTGAAAACCCCACTTACTTTCTTCCCTATGTTTTCTTCTATGCAGCCTGGAGCATATACCTGTAGTGAGTGTGGGTGAGGGGTCCAGTGCTGGAAACCAGATATAAAGTTAGATAAAGCGTGGTACATGTGACAACTGAGGAGGAAAGACCAAAGCTGGTGGCTTCTCTTTTTAGAAAAATAAAAATGGAAAAAGTTCCTTCAGCCATTCTGTAGGAATACTTTAAATGTCACTCAGTGACATTCCATTAGCCCAGTTCAAAGCCTGATGCCACCTACTGCTCAGTTTGTCTGGAGCATCCTGAGCTCTGCCAAGTGAACCAAGGAAGAATGGGCCATGACACCAGGGGCCAGGCAGAGGCAGAAGCAGAAGACATGATCCTATAAGCTGGGGGTCAGGGGTTGAGGTGGGAATGGAGCCAAGGAATCTCTCAGGTGAAGAAGGGTTTCTAAGCAGGGGCCTGAGAGTAGGAAGAAGGGACAGAGTTGTGATATGTGAAGGGAGATTCAGGCATGGTTGGTAGAACCAGGCTGGGTGAAGTCTGAGCTTTGGGGAGTTGAGCATCCCCAGAGAAGAGCCTTTTCTCTTTCCTGGGGGTTCAGAGCCTGCCCGAGAGAAGGTGCCAAGTTCTGACCTCCTTCCTCACATCCCTCCATTCTGCTCAAACCCCAGGTCTGCAGGCACAATGGAGGACAAACGCAACATCCAGATCATCGAGTGGGAGCACTTGGACAAGAAGAAGTTCTATGTGTTTGGTGTGGCGATGACGATGATGATCCGCGTCAGCGTCTATCCATTTACCCTCATCCGCACTCGGTTGCAGGTTCAGAAGGGCAAGAGCCTCTACCATGGGACCTTCGATGCCTTCATCAAGATTCTCCGAGCAGATGGGGTGACTGGCCTCTACCGGGGGTTCCTGGTCAACACCTTCACCCTCATCTCTGGCCAGTGCTACGTAACCACTTACGAGCTCACCCGGAAGTTTGTAGCTGACTATAGCCAGAGCAACACAGTCAAATCACTAGTGGCTGGTGGCTCGGCCTCCCTTGTGGCCCAGAGCATCACAGTGCCCATCGATGTGGTCTCCCAGCACCTAATGATGCAGCGAAAGGGTGAGAAAATGGGCCGCTTCCAAGTGCGAGGGAACACAGGGGGACATGGGGCTGTTGCGTTTGGCCAAACCAAGGATATCATCAGGCAGATCCTGCAGGCTGATGGGCTTCGTGGCTTCTACAGAGGTTACGTGGCTTCCCTGCTTACCTACATCCCAAACAGTGCTGTCTGGTGGCCCTTCTATCACTTCTATGCAGGTAAGTGAGGGCCGGGGGGCATGACGGCGGACAGGTTTATCGGTGGGTCTTAGATACGAGCATTGTGTTGGGAAGGCAGATTTAATGGGAGCATGGGTCAACCACTCAACCAACGTTTCCAAATTCAAAAATGAACGAAGGCAGGGAGTCACGCAAAGTAGGTGACTGTGGAAATAGCGGTCGTACTTGGTGCTGTGGGGGCTCGTGGGGTACTGGCAGAGAGTTAGGAGGTGGGGGAGGACAATTCAGGGTACTTCTGGGATACGAAGATGGAGTTGATGGGACTTTTGAATTGGGTGCCTTTCCTCAGCATGGTTAAACTCAAGATGTAGTGTAAACTTGTAGTGTAAATTCTATCCTGCTATGATGCATTTTGTTAGAGACATTTTACTTTTGAAGTATTTCTCAAAAGTGGGTCAAGAGACCAGCTTTCTGAGGGCCACAGCAAGTGTACTGCAGATTTCCTTCCGAAAGGGCAGCTACATCGATGGCCAAGGGCGGGAGCTGCGAGTCTGCTGCCCTGTGGCGCCCACAGCCCTGAGCAGCCTGCGTCTGTCACTCCTGGCCCTCCACAGTGGGACCTTTCATCCCATCATCCCATCTGGAACTTTCCTGACCAAATTTTGTAACGACTTCCTAACCTATTATCATCTTGCCTCCAGAGCACAGTACTTCTCTGGTTTTCCTGTTTTTTTCTTCCCCTCCCCTCACTCACTTCATTATGTTGTTTCCCAACATAGGAAATGTGAGCATTTTCTCTGTTTCAGCCCTTTCCTCCTCATTTGATTTCATTTAAAATTGTAGTTGTAGTTGTATGTTTCTGATATATCAAATCTATTTCTGTTTCAGACTAACCTGCTCAGTGCTCTGGACAGACATTCTGATTGCTGGTGCATGTGTTTACGTTGGAGATTTTTTTCAGTTAACTGAATTCAGTTCTTTACCCCAGACCACTGTCCCCTCTCATGGCAGTGCCCAGGTCATTCCCCAAATTACTAGCCTTGGAGATTGCCTTTGTCACCCTCTCTTCCTTGTCCCACAGCTAGCCCTGGGGACCCCAGAGTGACTTTCCACTCCAATCCCTTCCTGGAGACTGTTCCTCTGTTACTTCCTTCTGGGCTGCATCAGCCTTGAGCTGCCCCATGTATGTCTTTTCCTGCTACCTGTTCTACACAGCTGTAATGGAATCACTTTTTCTTCGTTTTTTAAAGACTTATTTTATTTATTTATGCATACAAGAGCTGGGGTGTAGGCCAGAGGTACGGGGGTAAGGGGGAGAGAAGTTTCACCAGACACAGAGTGGAGAGCACAACAGGCAGATCTACTGAAATACACTGCTGAGGGGAGCAGCGGGAGACAGGAGAGGTCTGCTGCGCCATGTGGGTCAGCTCCCTGCCTGGGAATTGAACTCACACTGCAGTGGCTGCGATAACTTCATAGTGCTGAGACTTTAACCCCGTGTGCCCCCAGGGCGGCCCTAATGGAGTCACTTTCTAACCCTAGTTGTGATGTTGAGTGGCTGCCCTGCTTGCTGAGAACAGTCCACATGCTTCAGTTTGACGTCATGCGCCCGTCACAGTGAAACCTGCTGCTTCACTGTGAATCACCTGTGCCGCAGCCACTGTCCCCTGGCCAGGCCTCGCCTCTGCTCCTCAGCACTGTTCTTGTCATCCCTCTCTTCCATGCCTTCCAGGTCTATTGAGTCCTGGTGAAATCATGACTTGGCTTAAAGTGCCCCTGTTGCTGCTTCTCCAGCTTCTGCACAAAGCCCTTAACCGGAGGAGATCTCGCCTTCTCCCACCCAGCGGCACTGCTTGTGTCTTTCATAAGGCAGGGAGAACATTTGCCTTGATGTCACTTGTTTGTGCCCTGTCTCTTCTAGTGGGAAGGTTCTTTTTTAAAAATGCATTTCTTCCTCAGCTTTATTGAAATATAATTGACTGGAGAGTTCTTGGAAGGGTCAAGAGGAGAGGAGCCTACATTGATTGAATACCCATCATGAGCCAGGCTCTGTGCCCAGACCTTGCATCTCCCTCCTTATTTCATTCTCACAACAGCCCTGTGATGGGGATGTCCTCCCCAGAGGATGCTTTCCCTGATGTACCTGCCTAAATCTGCTCCCTTTTTATATGTTCTCATGAAACCACACACATGAAACCCTACTAGGCTGCAGCTTCTGTGAGCACAGGGACCTTGTCTGCGAGTAGATCTGCCTGTTCTGCTCCCCACTCTGCCTCTGGTGAATCCTCTCACCCCCCACACCTCTGGCCTGTACCCCAGTTCTTGTATGCATAAATAAATAAAATAAACCATAAAAAATCTAATGCTGCCACCTGGACACAGAATAAAATCTGACGCCCCCCTCGGTCACCCTAGGTGTCCTGTCTGCTTCTCCAGCCCGTCTCCTGCTACTCTCCCTTTACTGCCTGTCTGCCTCACTGCCCTTCTCTCAGGCCCGGAAACATACCAAGCGCTTCTCCATGACACCTTCGTAGATAACGTTCTTTCTGACTGGAATATCCTTTTGTGTGGCTGGGTACTTCTGCTTCTGGCCTCAGCTTACATGTTACCTTTGCAAAGACTTCTTACCCTTTCAGAAAGAGAGCTCTTTGTATTTTCATGTTTCAGTACCTTGTTTCCTTCATATTGCTTATCATAATTTGAAGTTATTATATACATGCCTTCCAGCTCTTTCATTTTAGGTTTAAATTCCATGAAGGCATTTTCCTGTCCATTTCTCAGTTTCTATGTCTAGTGTTTATCTGGCATCTGGTAAGCACTAAGTAACTAGTCATTTCTATTACTTGTCCAAAGTCATTTAGCCAGGAGGAGCTTATACCAGGTCAGCCTGGGCTTATCTTCTGCTTTGTATTAAACAGTCACTGAATGGATAGTGGAGAAAGAAAGACAAAGAGCTTTGTCCCCCATCCTCTTGCCTTTGCTTTTTCATTCTTTCCTTAAGCCCAGAAAGATGGCATGTGTGTCTGTTAGACCTGGAGTCAGGTCCTGCGGCCGATGGCCAGTGTGGGAAGTGCAGACAGGCCCAGGAGGCTGGCAGTGCCAGGGCGAGGCTACCTGTGAGTGATTGCAAAATGCTTTCTGAGAAGAAACAAGACTCCCTGTCCTCTGCTAGGCAGCCCGCAGTTCCCTTTGTGTCTGTCTGCGTGCTGACTCTGGGAGGATGGAAGCCCCGTGGCTCTCTGGCCAGGCTTAGGGAACCTGGGGACCCGCACTCTGCCCTGCCAGCCCCCTCCTCCTACTTGTCCCCTCCTCTTTCGTTTCTTGGCCACAAGTGCCAAAATGAGAAGCCTAAAAACAAAATTCGTCGAGATGTGGTGACTGCAGTTGTAGAGAGATGCTGAGGGACGCTGCGGTGATAGTCTATTTTACGCCCAGTCCCACTCACAATGACTTTAGGCTCTCAGCGATTTACACCTGGGACCCTACCTGCTGCTCCTCCTTCACTAATTTGCCCTGTAGACTTACCTTGAAGATTCCAGGCATGCTCCTGCCTTGGGGCCTTTGTTGTTGTTTAAAGATTTATTTTATTTATTTGTGCATATAAGAGCTAGGGTACAGACCATAGGTGCGGGGGATGAGGAGTCA